CACACCGTGTTTTTAGCCCCCCCTAAGACCAGCCTAAAAAAGACCCCCCCCCCCCCCCCATGATGAATCTGAACATTACATGGCTCTGCTCCCTCTGAGTGTTCTTCTTCTCTTCGTTTGTCTTTCACTCACACAGTTATGTTAAGCCGGGAAATAAACACCGAAGCGTGTAAAAAGCCTGGATGGATGAGGATGTCTGGGGAGCAGTTGTGCTCATTCACCATGTCTGTTGCAGCGGCTGATGATGATGTTATCGTAAATGTGAGCTTGGTTGGTCTTGGACTGGAGCTCCCGCAGATGAATCAAAGTCTGTCATGGTGTTTAGTCTTTAAACTGCGGACTCTGCAGTGTACGTAGTGCCTCTAAACCTAAACATTCCTCATGGACGTGTGCAGTGTTGACATCCACCATGCAGGTTTTGTTGTCCTGTTACATTCAGTTGCCCCTGCAGGGTTGGAGATAAGTGACTGCCTCCCCAGTCCTCTCAACAGGAAGTGTATTTAGTGTCACCAGAAGTGAGGTCAAGTCTGTGGCCTATTATGCAGCTCCTGAAGATAACACATGGGATGGAGCCAAGCTCATGAAGCCCTCTGTTATTCTCTGCTGATATATTTGCTTAGTGTAAGTTAATGTAGCCCTAAATCCCCCAAAGGGCAGTTTTCTTTGCCCTGGGAATGAGATCATTATGTTGAGAACAAGTGTAGTCCTCCTCATGAATCCACTTGGAGAAGCAGTGTGTGTGTGTGTGTGTGTGTGAATGCTTCACCAGCTCCTGAGCTGCAGACAATCACCTACTGTTACAGACGCTGCTGGCAGTGGCTGGGCGGTGTGTATAGGCTGTGCAGAGTCAAAACTACACCAACACTGACGCTTGAACGGAGACCGTGCGCAGTTCCCTCAGCTGCCACCAGCAAACACAGGAAATTCAGTGATGAGTTTTTCAGGAAGTGAATCTGGGAAACACTTGTGCATTGGAGCGATCGGGGCTATTAATGGAGGATGACTATTAAAATAGCGTATGGAAAGAAAAACACTTTGTATCAAAGGAAGGTTGTGTGGCTGCCTTACATCTGTAGAACACCAGCCGGGGTTTTTTTTTAACACATCCTGCAGCAGAGTGGAAACTAAACCACATTAATCATATTTATTAATTGGATGTTGTCGTAATTACAACACAAATAATGTTTTGGACACATGGTGTGGTTGTTCTTGTGGATGTTAGTCACAGCATACAAGAAAATAACTAGCTGTTAATAACAGCGGTGCTGCTAGAACTCATGGACTTTAATGTTAATCTGTCTATCAGGATGGGTTAGCGGTTGATCGCAGGGTGGACATCAAGACACGGACAGCCATTCACACTAAATCACACCAAGGGCCAATCAGGAGTCTTCTGTGGCTGTAGTTATGTGATCAGTGCATTGTTAAAATCAGGTTGTCGGGGGTTCGATTCCAAGATCTCCAAGTCTTTAAGTTGCAAATTGACGTGCTGTAGTAATGTTTCTGGGAGTGGATAAATACAGTTTTTTAATTTGCTAATAACAATTATTTACCATGGAACCAAAGTTGATGTAGATGCCTGTAAAACAACCAAAATGAACGGGAATTGCTTTTAAGTATTGTGCAGTAGAAAGTTTTGGGCAGCTTAGTAAATAACAATCCCATTTAGAGGAAAAAAAGATGATAAAGCTGAACAGAAAATGCTGCGTACTGCGTGTGAGCCACATCTTTTACATGAACATGGTGTGTTGTGAGTTTGATTGTGGGAGGCTGCGGGCCTTCAAATGCCAACGTCTACTTCTGAGCTCAGTACCATGATGCAAAAATTAAATAAACACACATGTTCAACCCGACTTGATCACCAGTCAGTGTAATTGCAAATACACAAAAGGATTGTTTGGTTGTAATTTGTCAGTACTCTCTAAATCTTGCAGGAAAATAAAGCCTAGCCACCTTTTCTTGCAGGAAAATAAAGCCTAGCCACCAACACCAGTGCTGCCACATTTGGGTGATATAATTTTTAAATTTTTTTTTATGGAGCTAGACTGTTGTTTTCCATTGTTTGCAGAGTAGTTGAGAAACATGTTGTAATCCATCTCATTTCAAAATGATGGCCGTAAAAGTAATCATGGACCGAGTGACGGGACTGTTCCCACTTGGCCATTATGTTGTATTTGAAGTTAAACAAAATAAAATAGAAAGTAACAACATTTCGAAATGGTTATAGTACATCCATGTTCAACGTTGTGACGTCTGTTGTTTTCACGAGGCACGTGACTATAATTCGCACATTTGTGTTTCTGAGGTGGTAAATAGTACACATTATGTACTGTAGTGTCGTGATCAGCTAATATGTTCTCCTTAAGACATTGTTTTAGAAAAGCATGTGGCTGTGGGTTGTCAGAACCAGTCCATTGGACAGTGGAGTCGTTACATTGGCTTTAAATTTAAACAAAATTATTTTCATCAAAATCATTTTGTTTAAATTTAAATCCAATTTTTTCCTGATTTCTCTTGAAACATCAAAATCATTTTGTTTAAATTTAAAGCCAATTTTTCCCTTGTAAACCTGATTACTCTTGAACAACAACACACAGTTGGATCACAGAATGTCTGTATTTTCACTGTAATATTCTCACTCACCTTCCTCTCAGCGGTGGTGATAAGACTCCTGGCCTGTCTGTCTGAGTGCGATGTGTTTAACCCTCCTAACATCTGCACGTCCACCTGTGACGGGAAAAGGGCAAACTAATAAAGGGCAGTTGAAGTTTACTCACAACCCTTTGTTTGCTGGCCGCCCTGTAGACAGAGTCAATCTTTACTCTACTGCGCGCTGACCTCTTGACTCCAGATTGGTAATCTGTGTGAGTTGACAAACACAAACCGTGCAGCTTAAAGATGCTCAGGAAACTGGATGAATGTTGATTCACAGCTTCATGCGTTGATGCTGTGGGAACTGTAATTCCCAGGAAGTGTTTCTCAAGCCCGGCTGATTACATGAATTACAAATAAGGGACTGTAAGTTTGGCGTTGTAAAGGTGTTATTTTTCGCTGACGGCCATTTGGACCTGGGAAGAATACAAGCTCAATTAGTGCTTTTAGCGTATTCCAGGATACAGGTGCTAAAGCTGAACCGTGGCCAGTGATAGCAGTTATTGGCTGCGGATCAGTCACCAGTTGTGCACAGGAATGTTGTGGTTGATATTGAGAAGCGAAGCATAAGGAATAGAATACCTGATTAGCCAGAAACCGAGATGTTAATACGGAGAGAAACCTGTGCGCGTGTGCAACGCTTGATAGAGATGGGAGATAATAGTGATCATTTTCAGGTGCTTACTTCATCATCAACCATTTAAAAGTACGTGTTTATGATTGCACCTGTTCACTGTACTATGTCATGGTTTAAGTCATTCCCACCTCTATTAAACCTGGGCCATTCTGAGCCAGTCATCTGCCAAGAAGCTTTACAAAGTCATGGTCAGCCATTATAAACCTTAGATTTTATTAGTTGTAACCAAATAAGTAGGACTACGTTTTCTGAAAACAATCCTAGTCCAAATACTAAAATGCTGCTAACCAAAATTAATTTCACAGCACTGCTGTGTAGTGCAGATACTTTGTTCTATTCTTTTTTACTTTACTCTATTTTTCTGTTCTGTTCTAGACTGTTGCTGACTGCAGCAGTGACCAACCTGCCAGTTCATGTTTGTACCTCTGACATGTCCCATGTCTATCATCAGTGATGAGCATAAAGAAAATTGTTTCCCTCTCCTTACGAGGACTGTCAACACAACGTGAGTGACTTTGCTCCCGTTTGCCAAACCAAATTCTCCACTCTGCCTCACTGAGTCTTCCCCACTTGAATGGGCCATTGTTAGTACTCCAAGTTAATTTTGGGGGGAGAAACGTAGGGACTGTTACTGCGGCAGTGATTCATCGCCGAGGGGAGTTTTAAATCATGATTATTTATAGTCCTGACATGACACCCCCTCCCCACATATTGGTATTTCCCTTAGTCAACACTGGAGTGTTTGGGGAGCTTTGTTTTGCTTTCAGCAGCCCGTTCCATTAAGTGCTTGGACTGTGAGGCATGTCATGGTGTGCTGTCACTCAAACTCAGATTTTCCTCAGAAACTAATCAGAACTGAAGGCTCTACAGTGGAGCTGGTGCTGTTCTCCATGCAGGCTGTGATGTTGATGAGGGTTTGATGTGTTCACTGTTTCCTGTTTGATAGAAAACAGTCAACGCAAGATGTAACACAAAGATCGTTTTTAAGTTTTCGGGATACAAAGGTTTTCAACTTGTTAGTTGAATAGAAGTTGGCTAAAAATGAATTTATCATGAATCATGCATATAGTACACAAAGCTAAGAGTTAGCAAACCAGCTAAGTGATCCCACCACTAACACGATTACTTATACTACCACCATTACTGCTAGTACTATGCCATCAATGAAAGACTTTGAGAAGCAAATCCCGGGTCACAGAAGAATCCTTTCCTTTTCCTCAGTGACCCTTGATATCTGATATTCTTGGCCTTCAACGTCTTAAACAGTGAGGACTATCGTGTTTCGCTGACACAGAAAGTAGGCAAATGGATGCTATGTCGTGCTAGAGAGGTGGATAATTCTCACCACTTTTTTTACATCAGAGTGGAAGTGTTGATGCTGAACCTGAGTCCGTTCAGCTGCGGAGTTTACGCAAAGCCTTAAATTGTCCTGAATTGGAGAGAATGCCTGATAGACAGTCAAAGAGAGAGCTTTAAAACCCCAGTTTGAATCAGCATCAGATGGCCCCACTCCACTCTACAGAAGGGAATGTAAAGTGTTATATTTAGTCTTATTTTTCACTCTTGGTCTACTTTTAATCCTTGCCAACTTTTAAGCATAACCAGCCTCTCTCTGGTTATATGAACATCAATTTTATCCTCACACAACAGTTGAATGATTTTATTCTTATGCCTCCCTCCCTCCCTTCCACCTCCCTCCTCTACCCCTACCCTCTCCCTTACCCCCTTCCCCTTTGCATTTTCCTGCTCTTGGGATATGTCTGCGTTCCCGGCCGTGGAATGTTGCACCAGTTTCTCGATGAGGAACAGGTGACTGTCCCACTCCAGGACGTTTCTCCCGAGGCCTTTTCTCCTTCATTATATCCTGTGTCTGTAGATGTGGATCAGTCAGTGCCACTCAAACATCAGTAGCTCCTTCTGACTCAGTTATTCTAGTTCTTCCACAAGTCCACATCATCCCCAGAGATGGCAATGCTTTTCATAGCTAACATACTCACGTAAGGATCCCCGAAGGTTTAGACTCAGACAGCAGCCTCTGTGATTGATGGCATTTTTTTTGGGGAGGATTGTTACGTAACAACAATCTGAAAGCACAAGCCCACCATCTCCATGTGTCTTTGGTGCTGAAAGTCATCACAGCAGCAGAGAGAATCCTTCTCTGATTGCGTCAGCAGCTGTATTTGAAGTACAACTGTCAGTGTGATTGATACAACGCTAATATACAGAATATGCTCCCAGTCTGTTGATGATAAATATGTCAATGTTGTTATTTATTTCTGCACAGTGTAAAAAAAAGTAACATGGGGCGTAATTCTGCGACTGAAGGCATTGTTTTTTTTTAAATATTGCCATTGTTTCTGTGCAAACACTGGCACGATCACCACTCTTTTCCATAATATTTTCTTAACTCTGTAGCGTGATATTTTCTACACAAGACGTCAGTAAGATGGTAAGAGTTTGACTGCATTGCTATGAGTTACACAGCATAGATTGAAAACACTTAAAACTGTGCAACATCTGATTTATATTCAGTCTTTTTTATTTTTAGCGACTTTATTTACTGACGGTGTTTTCAAACGATTCCGAAGACTAAAGGTATTTTGCAGATATAGAGTGATTTGAGAGCACTGCCTCCTGCTGTCCAGTAAACTTAATTTATACACCTTGAAGAACTTGGTCAGGTCTGTCTCAGCCTTATAATTAAATACCCATGAGACGCTGACCTGCAGTAGGAAAACAAATAACACCAGCAGACTGTCGTAAAGCTGGGTGTGAAAAGCAATTAGGAATGAGTATTTGAATCAGGTATCAGACCTGATACTGATGAATTGCTTAAATGTGAAAATATGAACAGCTATAAAAAACCATGGAAATGGTTCATGGTGGGCAGTGCCACCTACAGGTGGGGTCACTTATTGTCAAAGTTGACCATCCAGTGGTCATACATTTTACACAGAATAATAGTTCACTAAACCTGTTCATCATCACCTTTGAATTAATGACACTTGGTGACCTCCTAGCAGAGTGGCCTTAGTGAGCATCATCATACTGGTATCTGCCATCCAGATAAACAACATGTCTGGAAACCATTAAATGTGACACTGAAATTATTTTCGACATTTGGTCAAAAGACAGATCCCTTTGTAAACAGAGGCATCAGGTTGCCTTTAAGAGATTCCTGTATTTTTTGTTCAGACTCCTGTTTTAAGTCAGTAATAATTGGTTGTCACCCAAAAAGGTCATGTTGTTGTGCAGCTGGAGGTTTGTCTGGGAGCAGCATTTTTTAGGTCATGATCTAAAAAAAAGATGGGATTTTATTGGTGGATATTTGAACTACTTGGATATTTCAAAGCCGTTTTTCCTCCAGACAGTAGTGAATTACTAATTTGTGGATGGAGGAATATTTAGACTAAAATCATTTGACATGGTCTCTTTCTAAAGTTCAAGCCAATCTGCACACTCAAGAAGTCAGCACTTGTGTAGCAGGGGTTGACATCAATCTGCCATGGTGTGATGTTCCAGCCAGTAAGGTAGCACTGCAGCAGTCAACTTGAAAGTCTTTAAAACTGTGAGTCATTTGGTCTGAGGAAACTCCAACATTCTATTTCTGTATTTTTCACTTCAGAACCAGAGCTTCATACGGAGAGCATTAGACGCCACGCGCTGTTGTTCCCATAGAATTGGTATAGTTGGATAATGAAGTTTTAATGTCATCATAATAAATGATGGGTGTCGTATCTGCCCTTTTTGGACCCATTATTGATAAATTCCTAACTCTCACTAATTATTTGGATCAACTTTTAGGGCGTTGCAGCCTTAAGAGTTTAATGGATTATTTTTCTGGTTAATCGTAGAATCATTACAGTATTAGTGCAGACCAAAGTAAGTCTGAAATCCTGACTGTAAATCAGGAAGAAGTGTAGACGTTACATCAGCAGAAGCTTTAAAATTCAGTCACTATATAAAAGACAACGTCTTAATTAAAACAATAAAAATATTCACTGCACAGTTCACTTGACACCACAGTCACAATGACATTTTCATCACTGGCCTTCAGCGCTTAGCCCCGAAATGAGTGAATTAATTGTCCTTAAAAGTTATTGTCTTGGTTCTAATTAACACTTAAGACGCTGTAGACTTCTGTTGTTTGACCCATTGACTCAAAGGTAACATGTATAAACATGACTGGAGCAACCTCACTGAAGGCTAGGTGTTTGGCCCAGGGATGACATTGAGTTTTGTCTTTTGTCTTAAATCAGTTTTGTTTGTTTGTTTTTTTTTGTTAAACTTCTACCAAATTTGGTGTCACAGTTTTTTGTACAGATTGGAGATAGATCTTAGATGTAGTGAAGAGACAGAAAGTGAAGATGTTTGGCAGAACATTTCATTTTCTTCATCTGAATTACCTCCACTCTGTTACTTAATAGCATCTGTAGCTTCCCTTCTGAGCGGCTGGTTTCTGGGCAGGACTTCTGTTTATGTTGAAATGAGCCAAGTCGTTGTCATCATTTTTTATTATTAATTTACCACAAATCTATTACTCATGCTGACTTCTTACCTATAAAAAATGACCCGTCAAGAGACTAGTTCTTTTTCTGTACACTTGTCAGTGTTTGACCTGACTGTTGGCTTATAGTTCTTGTTCTTGTTTTTTAACACTCAAAAAGGAAACAATATGAATTGAAATCAGAGCAAATATCACAGTTCTAACCAAATGTGAATGGAAATCTGTGAAAATGATCAAACCCTTTTAACACATTCTTGGTATCGAGCTTCATCTGAATCATTTGTTTTCTCAAAACAGAAGGAACATTTGAAAATATTAGGCCAAAGAATAGGTGAAAAAGCAGATTGAAACTCAATTTCCACATCAGTTCCTCTCTTGTTCTTTTTTTTGTTTGTTTTATCCCTTTATCCCTCAATACATTTCTTTTGGCAAGAAAGCTGTCCTGAGAACAGCAGTAGATAGAAAATGTCAACTTTGCATTGAAATTTGGGTCAATCATTATCATAATTATTATTATCTTCTTAATTTTTTATAACAATAATTATAATAACGCAAGATGACTATTATATATATATAAAATGACTATTACATTATTAAAACTAAAATTTTAACCCTTTGTGTGTTTTTTTCCTTAGGTGGAACCTTTTCCTGCTCCTGTCAGTATGCTCTGCAGTGCTCTCTGGAGACAAAGACTACCTAGCTCAAGGTAACTGACACTGAATCACATGACCACTAGGACTGCAAGTAATGACTGTTTTCATTGATGGGATGGGGTTGGGGGTCAGAAGAAGATCTGAAATCTAGGTGGGATTTATTTCTCTCTAATTCATCCAGGAGCCAATGTAGATACACACCAAACTGCAGTAGGTGCATGTTTTCTCCTACTCAGATTTAGAACCCTCTGTGTCGGCATGCCTGCTCTTGCACTTCAGGCCTCAGCGTGCAGGTACGGGCTGCAAGGATAGCCTCTCAACCCGAACTATCTTCAATGTCTTGTTTCCTGTCTAAGTGCCCCCATCTGTGCCTGATCAAAATAAGTCCAGGCTGTGCCACATGCACACAACGTGTGGGGTAGATGCTAAAGAGGGTCACTCCAGGAATCGGTCAGACAAAGGAGATGTGGGAGGATGACATAACAAAAGCACGAGTGGCTGCGGTCAGATGTTCAGGATGAGGTCATACTCCTGGTGAGGTCAGGAAGCGGGGGCTGTAGGGGATGAGGCTTTGTAGAATTAGCCTGTTGTAGCTTCACCCAATTTAAGCTGGTGATGTTGGTGTAAGACAAAACCAAGGGTGTGGTGTCCCTGTGAGAAGCATGAACAGAGAGATCGAGGGCGAGAGAGAGAGAGAGAGAGAGAGAGCAATCTGCTAGCAGGATTTATGTAATCCAGGACACACCTTGTGCCACAGATGTTTGCAGATCGTGCCAACCAGCTACCTGCAGAGTAAACACGACAGATTAGCAACCTGGTCCGGCTCCAACATACATTTCAGGAGGCCTTAACAAGTCAATACAACACAGTGTTGTCATGGGTCTGTGATGTTTGAATTTTGACAACGTACTCCTTCAGATGCTAATTCCCTGAAGGAAGGAACGTTACAGAGAAGAATGGTATAACGTAGTGAATCGAAAGACATCATTCCTTCCTATTCTATAAACAGTCCATTCAGATTGCGATTAATCCATCAACAGTCCATTCAGATTGCGATTAATCCGTCGTAAAAGGGAGGAGGAGGAGGAGGACGACGGGGAGGAATGCACCCAAAGTGCAAGAGCAGCTTGTCTTCACATATGAGACAGGTTAATTGGAATCTACGCTGATGTTACCTGGGGCAAAGAATGTCAAGGATGTATTAGAGCATGCTCAGATGGGCTGCGGATACACGGTTGTTGTATGACAGCCACTGAAGGACTGCAGGAGTTATCAATGATACCTTCAATGACACTTCTGTTACACTGGAAGACACATCAGGAAGACCGGACAGCTGTTGAACTTGGGATGATTGAGATGGTCTCCTATAGTGACTAATGCATTCCTAATGATGCAGGATATTGCACAAATTGGGAGTAAAAAGGAGTCAAGGCCAGTGTTGCAGTCTACATTATATTTGTGCGCCCTTTCGAAGCCAAGGCCTTTGACCTCAGAGGTCCCTCACCTGCCCTTAACTCTCATCTGTCAAACTGTCACAGGTCAGAACTTCTGTGTTCACGTCGTCCATACCTGTAAAGTTCAAACGTTCAGACTGTTGTTGTTGAATTAGTAGTTACAGTAACCTCCTGGTCTTGTTTGCTGCTGTTGAACTCGTAATGTCATCGTTTGATATCCATGCTGTCAACTAAGGCACAAACAAACAAACAAACCAATTGTGGCTAGTGCCTCAATTCTTTATTTTGGATTAATTATTTACCAAACACATTGAATTGGCTCTTTATCAGTGTGCACATTTCTGGCAGCCCTATAGGTTGTGGCAATGCACATTAAAAAAAAATTCACCATTTATGTTGATTTGTTTATCATAAAACCAGGAATTTAATTCATCATGTTCCTTAAATCATAACATACAGTAAATCCTTTTAGGTGTATTTTAGATTATTGAAATTTGGATTTATTCACCATGAATTTAATTTAGAGAACATTTCTGTTGTCAAAAACATTAAATTATTAAATGAAACATTAAATGAATGATCATTTATTATATCAAAGATCTATCTGTCTGTCCCTTCTCTCTTATGCAATCACTCATGCACAAGCAGACGCTGCATAAATTCTTCACTGTATCACCTGTGGGCATGGGAAAAAAAGACGGCCTTTTGGAGAAAACGCTGCTCTCATCAATCTCTGGTTGCGGATTCATGTAAAAAAAAAAACTCAGTTGACTGTCTCATAGTTCGGCTTCATGTGTCCTCTGCCCATCTGGGCAACAGCTGGCTGAAAGCTAATTCCCCCCAAACAACAGTGTGAGGCCAGCGTCACCAGAGCTGACTGTTGTAGTAAAAGATACAAAAATGAGAAATTAAGCCACACAGTTCCCAGGAGCACTGACTCAGTGGTCCAGTAATGTTAAACAGCAAAGGTAACTTGACCCTTTAGATTGAGCAGCATAGCATTGAAATGTTAACCAGAAATAAATGGAACAAAAGACGTGTTCATCTCTGAACACGTCTTGTGAACCAGATGTGTCCAGTTTAAGAGCATTTAGATGCCATGTTATAAATGTTATAACTTAATATGAGAAATGCCCTATTGGACAGACATGTCCAGATGATCAGCGATGATCAGTGCAGCTGTATTCCTCCAACAATGTCCCCACGTTTTGACAGATTAATCACCTGTTTGAAAACCCTTCATATACTTAACTTTGCTACTATTTGCTACTATTATCTTTGAGGCTTGGCTAAGTTGAGCTAAAATTGCTAACTGTTTCCAGATTTGAAGGCTTTACACCTGTGATTTGACTCCATATCTGAATATTCAACCTAATCAAGTGTTTTCCGTGTTTTTCAGGAGCCGACATCCTCTATCGATTGGGGCTTACAGATCAAAACACAGACCGTCCCTACGGGAGGATAAGTTCACCATTGACCCCTCACACCACTGTTCCCTCATATTTAACCCCTCCTGTAGCTGGATATGGGGTGTTAGTAGACTCAAACTCCCTCTATGAGGCCCCAGCAGAAAGTCTGTTCCCTGCAGAGTTTGGTGAGGAGTTCTCTGTTGTCATTAGTCTAAGCTCCTGGCGAGCAAACAATGCTTTTCTTTTTAGTGTTAAGGACAGCAGAGACAGGCTCCGTTTTGGCATTCAGCTGCTGCCACGGAGAGTGGTGGTTTACACAGCAGAGAAAGCCTCCATCTACTTCACCTACAACTGGCAGGATGGGCGCCAGCACCATTTTGCCGTTGGCGTTCGCACACGCTCAGTGACCTTTTACGCGGACTGTGGTGCGGTGCAGCAGCAGGAGCACACCCTAGGAAGATCTCAGGCACTGAGGGATTCTGGGGGTCTCTTCACTCTGGGCAGGATGAACTCCAAAGCGGCAGCATTTAATGGTCGAGTCTGCCAACTAGATATTTATCCCTCAGCTCTTGCTGCTGCGCACTACTGCAGCTACCTTAAAAAACAGTGCAGATTGGCCGACACTTACCGATCGCCTTCTCCGCACCATGCCTTGGATGCAGAGGCGAATGACCAACCATCTAGTCCTTCTACGATGCCCTTTGTTGGAGTAGTATCGACCCATCCAAACCCCGTGAAAACCACAGCGGTCCCCAACCAGTCTGCCACGAGTTTATCCCCAGACACAGCTCTGAGCCCGACAGTACCATATTTTGAGGAGGACCAGAGCGACAGTTCTGAATTGGATTTCTTTACCGACTACACAACATCCTCACCTTGGTCCGACAGCTCAACTGCTTCAGCTGTGGGTGACCAAGCAGTTTTGGATCTTGCCTACACAACAACGATCTTGAGTAGCAGGAAAGAGTTTCCAGAAGAAAGTACCCCCCAGGATGATGGTGCTTTTGTAGAAAACACAACCCCAGGCCTGATTTCACCTGAAAGAGAAAGTCAACGGAAAGAAGGAGTCGGGAACAACTCGGTCATTGGCACTGCTGACACTCGGTTTCACCACAACAATCACCTTCCTCATGTACGGGTTAATGGCACCACCTTGTACAGGGAGGATCAGGTGGACAGCTCAGAACAGTCCGATCTGGACGACAGCTATGATGACGTCGACATGGGGGCTTACGATTATGGATACGAGGGTCCAGACTTCTTCTACGAGTACGAAGATGGATTCCGAGGCCCCAAAGGAGAGCCAGGTCTTCCGGTAAGTGCTTGAATTCATGAGATGAAAATCCAGTCACCCAGTTACCAATCAGATCAATAAAAGCAAATTTATAGCCTTTATAGGCTTTTCATACATAAAGTACATCATTTAAAAAATATTTTTTTTGACGGGAAGAGTAGTGATTTATTGGTGATGTCATGACCAAGCCCCTCTTCTTTTTTCATGTATCTACATGTTGCTGGAGTAACACGTCACTGCTTTGCTGAATTACTGCCAGCCTTTCTGCTCTTATGTGAGTGAGGATAAGTCACCTGAAGGTTTAAAGGCGTATCTGGGCAAGAAAGAAATCAGTTTTCCATTCAGCCTCTGGATGATAGCTGGCTGTCAGGATAGCTTTCCACTTGTAACACACTTTTATTGCTTGCATTGTCTGTTACTGCTTAAATTTTCATCCCTTTTCCATCCCTGATTTCTCAGTGATGTGTTTGCAGTGCATTCATCTTACCTGCCTGTTTAAACAAAACTGTCTGAGCTTCATCGGCACTGCTGGTCTATAGATAGTGGCACAAGTGTAGCCAGTGTTATGTTGTAAAGCTACAGTATTTTTTTTTACCCTTTTTTGTCACTTTTTGCCTAAAATTCACATAACCCAAGAAGACATGGGTTTGTAATACTACTGTGGATTCATTATCATTTCATATTACAGTATAGTGGAGATGGTGGATACTGAAGTTACTTGCAACCATGCTGCTAAGACATGGTCCAGCTGTAGATTATGAGCAGTGTTCCATCACCTGTTATATTTCTCACCATATTTGCCCCTAGCCTGTCGTCTTCCATGGGTATTACCTCTAAAACCACTCTTCATTCTCAGCTTCATCTTGCAAACAGATGGCAACACTTCTGTCTTTAATATGGTCTATGAGAATTCACCTTAGAATATCTCTGGCCCATCGATGAACAATGACATGACAGTGTCACTACGCTATTTTGCTGTTTGCAAGCAAAAGCACAAAAGCACTCCTTTAAGGCAGACGTGTGTTGGTCTAAAACCTGCTTGTTTGCTAACAGCTAAACATAACAACCTGCTCTCTTCTTGACTGATGTGCAGAGGCTGGATTTTAGAGTTGATAATTGAAAAGACACTTTGTACTTGTGGCATACTCATGTGTTTAAGCCTTGGAGTTTGGACTTTTGCCCCCAATTCGAAGTGAATATTAGAATTTTGGCTGAGAAGTCAACCCTCTGTTCACCATTGACCTTTGCCACGTGAATGTTATCATTTTTCCGCTTGAATGCCTCGCTCTTTTCAAGCCTACTTGTTGTGCTGAAGGCGGTGGTGTACTCACAGTTTCCATGTGTCTGCGCGTGGGAGCCCAACAGAACAAACAGCTGTTTCTTTATTCCTGTCTCCCTCTGTGGTCATTTATGACTCTGACAGGGGCTGAAGATGCTTCACAGCACTCTACGATAACCCCTGTATAAACAACAGTGTAGAAAAGTGGATACAATTTTATATGTTTCTTCCTTCTCTCGAAATCTCTCATTCATCATGTGGTGCCATTGGAGAAAAAGTGTCAAAATGTCATGAATCGTTTTACCGGAGGCCACTCTTCTGACTCATCCGATGACCTTAGTGACCTTTGAGGCATTGGAAAGACTGTTGGTGTTCTGGTGGCTTCATTCAGTGGAAACTCTCCATACTTAAATAGACTGACAGCTGCTTTTCAACAGAATTAGATACAGTAGACGGAGCGGTCAGTGCAGCACCCTACATCTGTTAACCTTTATTTAACACTACAGTTAAATACGTTAAGGCCATTCCGTTTTCTAGAACCTACCATCATTCAAACAGGATCTTCATCTTCCAACCTTCAACACAATCCAAAAACCACATCATGAGTGGTCCCAGCAGGGCAATTTGTTCCCCAGCCTGGCCGGGCTACAAAGATGTGTGAGATAATCATACATCTCTCCCATTCAAACACTCAAAGCAAGTAATGCATTTCACCAAGTTTAAACAAGTATTTCGTATTCTGAGAGGAATTTTTAGAGAATTACAGTCAACTCGACCGGGGTTATCGCCTCTGGATGAGGACATCAATCAGAGCCACTGAGTAAGATCGAAACATGACCCAAACTGAAATTTTAAATACCTCAGATACACACTGTGGGTACGTCACGTTCAAAGATCTGTATGTCACCAGTATTAGAGGCTGGTCCATCATTTTATCTTGCCTTTGTTAGAACGTAACGTGGAACTTTTGGGGTTGGTGGAGGTCAATGTGAATTATTAAACTACTGTTTTTTTTCTTTCCCAACAAAGTATGTGCTTTTAAAAAACAATATTAAGTTGTAGTGTAATGAAATTTTTGTTGCTGCTTTTGCATCTAAAAAATCAAATGTAATTTTTTCATTTTAATTCTAAAAAGATTTCAGACCTAGATCAGTATTGATTCAATTTTGCATCAGCATGATTTATTGGAAGCTTAGCACTGTGGGCCAAGCATACTGGTTTTAGGCTAGTTTTTAGAAGTAAACATTTACCATATTGCCCCATAAGGACCATTTAGAACGTGTTTATTAGTATTAGTTCATACATACCTCATAGAAATGCTTCTCTTTGTAGACAATGTTTGGCACATTTGCTTCTTTCTTTGTATAGTGTGTGAATTCCAGTGTGCTTGAAGCTAACTGGTTAAAGAGAGATGTCTTTATTTTCTTGCAGTTTTACTCTTAGATGCTAGCTTAAATGATCTCTCTTTTACTGTCTCTCTAATTTTAGGGTCCTCCTGGTCCCCCTGGTTTACCTGGACCTCCAGGAAAAAGAGGTTCTCGGGTGAGTAACAACAAAATGTGTACAGAAAGTTATTGTTTGATTTACATAAAGCACACCTGATTCCTTCAGAATAATCCAGTGTCTTATATAGTTCTATAAAAGCAGTTAAACAAAAAAACAACCTCAGAGTTGAAGATAATATTAAATCAATTAATGTTCGTTACAGTATTTCTCATTAGCAGGGTCAGTGATTTAACACTGACAGCGTGTGTTTTTCATCAATATTTACCCCAAACCACCTGCAACTGGCTCACAACAAGGTGCTGACAGTCGTTGATTACTGTTTAGACCCAGGAAGACGACCGGCTTTGTAAAAGTGCACGACAATAAGATAATCTGTTGTGAAGTGGGTGACAATTTTTGCTTGTCGGCACCTATGGAGCTTTCAGGCTAGGTTTCCAAACAGTTCCAGGTCCGTGCTGCGTCAACCAGCTGCAGTGTTGGCGGACGAGCCAACACTGTCTCCGCTCTGATCTTGAGAGTGTGCTGTATGTATAACCGCCAAGGCTGTCATGATGCAATGCAGCGATGATGCCACAGGCCCTGAAGGCGCTTTAAACACACCATCAGACGTTTTACAAAAAAGACTGTGTTATTTGTTAGAGCCACAGTTTATAAATAGTTTACTTTTGATCTGTTCCAAGTCTCTTCTCTGCACCTGCACAGCGACATCACTGTTTATGGAAGATTATGTTCATTTGCAGCATCATTAGCTGTAGACTATTTTTGTGTTGATATATGCCAGTGAGAAGTTATTGCCTGTTGCTGTTACATGTTTCTGCGTATCACCGGTGTGCATTTAAAGTGCTTTCAGACTGGTGCTGAAGTCCCGACTTGTTCCAGCAGTCGTCTCAAAGGGAACTATGTGAAAATGCAAATGTCAGAAAAGGTTTTTGTGGACATTCTTCAGAACTTCATAACAGGCCTTGGGTCAAGTCCCCGTGTTCCCAGCAGAGAGGAAAGAAGGAATAACTCCAGCTTAATGATATGCTGTTGATGAAGCGGCTGCAGCTGCACTTTCCCCCACTGGTGTTGTAACTGCTGGGCTGAAGATGCTGCTAAGAGGCCACTACATCTCACCTCACGTTTGTGTCTTTGCACTTTGACCCATTTCTTTACTTACTGGAACAGATCTTCAAATTCTACTAGTTAATTCCAAAGACTGAGACTCGAACAGAATGTATAATCAAACTAAGTCTGAAAATGATCAACTTATTTCTAATCAATTCATAAATTAAGAATGCTGACTGACCAACATAAGTAGAATGACGTAAGTAGAATGTCAACAAACCTTTTTCTTTTTTTTTTCTAAATTGTCATTCAGTATGTGATCATGCCTCTGCTGGCCAGGCATGTAGCAGCAGTCCTCGGTGTATATGCTGCTTCCAGTCAGTATTGTGCCTACAGCTACATACTACTGCATGAAACTAGGACCATAAAACTGAACCATTTTAAAAGGTTTTTTTTTTTTTGCTTACAATAGATACATGACTTTCCACAGTTGTAAAAGCCGCTGCCTGTTATGAAAGTTAGCCATGAATTGGCTTTATGCAGATGATGCTGCATGCTGTGCAGCGCATTCATGGCATACCTGTGATATTTAAGTATAATCTTCTGGTATGCGTATACATAGTACTTTATATATATATGTGGTATATGGTATTCACAGATCCAAGTGCTGAAGCTTTCGCTTTGTAGAAATACTTACAGCTAACAATTTTGGGTCATGTTTCTGTTTACATAATAACTTCAATTTCTTTGAAAATTTGACTTATTTTTGTCTGCATAAAAATAATGTCTTCTGTCAGGGTCCCAGAGGTCCACATGGAAATCCAGGACTGCCAGGACTTCCGGGACCCAAGGTAAATGTCTTTTTCTTTTTTTCACTGAAGTGACATAAGTACTAACTAACTAACACATTGGTAAACATTGAATATGTTGGTATATATGGGTGGTCCAGAGAAATTCACTTAAACAACAATGTTTTGTTCATTATTAGTTGAATTTTTGTGTTATAGAATTTTAAAATATGGAAATGATCGCAGTATGAATACACCAAACCAGACGATTATGAAAGGGTTCAGAGACTTAAAAAATACTCAGAATAATTTACAGGGTACATATTAAATTGGTGAAATATTCTCCTTTTTTTAATGTTGAGAGTACATGTTGAAAAGCTAAATAACTCACCACCAGTTAAGTTATTTCCAAACTGATGAAAGCATGAAATATATACTAGGATGACAGCCAACAGATGGCAGCATACAAAGCCTGATGTTAAATCTGTCTCTGTTCCTTGTCTGTTGTCATTATACACCAGGCGGAAAATGTTATGTGATGGCACAGAGTTATTTTTTATTGACTCTTAGTGGAACAGTTGTTATTTATTTGCCATCATCTTTTTTTAAATCCTTACAAATATTAAAATTGAAAAACTCTTTCAACTGCATTCAAGTATTTGACACACATTTAACACAGGACGACAGAGAAGATCGCCACAAATCTGTCCAAAAATAAGATCAGTGAAAAAGAAACAAAACTGTTTTGTTGAAACCATCAGTGATACAGAAAGAAACTGTAATGGTCTTGACATGTTGGTACTTGTGGCCGTGTTCCCGAAAAGTGTGAAGCTGGAGATGACACGCCGATACAGATGTTTGTATATTTGTGTGTGTTTCTCAAACTTTGACATTAGCCTGTACTTGCAGCTTCCTGGTCTCTTCCTAGACTGTAATGTTAAAGCTAGAATCTAAATAGGAAACCTTCATGTCCAAAGAGTCATCACTGTCAATAAATGTCCTCGTAGTTTGTGAACTGAAAAAACTGTCCTAGAAAAAAAAATTGAAATGCTCTGTGTTCATGCTCGAAATCTGCACTTTGATTGAGTTAATATTTTAGTAAAAAAAAAAAAAATCCCTTATTCGTCCCACAATAGAGAAACTGGCAGTGTCAGTTATTGCAACCCACACAGGAGGTGTCATTAAGTGTATGTTTCCTCTGGGGCTCAAACTCAGGACGTTCTGCGTGTAAGGCAGGCATGATAATCGCTTCACTATAGAACCCATTAATCAGTGTTTATGGGTGTAGTTCTTCTAGAGTCAATATATACATCTACATCCAATCATTCATTCATTTATTCATCTACTGCTGGTTAATAACTACTATCTTCTGGAGATGAAGTCATTACCAGAGGTCACTTGACAAGGTCGTGGTGGGGTAACTGTAGCCAATTGATGATAATGATGACCAGGTAACAAGTTATTTCCGATTACTTGGGTCCTGAGAACATGGTGAGAACGCAGGGATGTGGGCAGCCAGATGTGGGCAGCCAGATGTGGGCAGCTCCAGGTTGATGTTTGTACTGACTGCGGTCCTGAGGTTTGACCAGAGAGCGGCTGGTCTGTGGCCTCGTCACCTCGGTGGCTGTATCTACAGTGCAGTCAGCTGCAGTCAGTCCTGTGTCAGATGTTTGGCTGTGGTTGTTACTGCCTTGATTGTACTTTGTATAAAGACGAGACATATTTATGAAGGTGTTTGTCACAATTTATGACTCCATCACCTGCCACACCCCATGTACATAAAGGAAGGAATGTTCAGTGTTCTTCGATTAGTCAGACAGCACGCAGAGATGTGCTGTTTTAGTTTTTCTGTCACCTTTGACCTACAGGGCCTTTTTGGGATTAGTTAGAAATACTGAAAGTGTCACCTGTTTGCTGTCTATTCTTTCAGCCTGTACACCCACATCCAAATACACAAAACCACCTCCAGTGTATCTAATTCCATGTTGACCTGAGTGAGTCACTGGTAAACCCCAAACCTCTTTGTGGAGGTGGACTGAGGGATTGTGAGAGTCTTTGTCTGGATTTGGAAACGATCTACTCTGAAGTGTTTTTGGTTACTAAGAAAAATACAGAGAACTTTAAAGTACTGTTTTATGAGAGTCGTTAACTTTAGCTGTCAGGTGTTTAAGTACTGTTTGTGTTGTTCGCATCTCCTCGCTGGATTCAACCCACCACACCCCATGCATTGTTGACTCTTCAGACAACATGGTTTTCTGCCGATGTACAACAAGCTGTTGTCGAAAGATGTCAAGTCCGTAAAGAGTTAAAGGTATTTAGGATACAGTTGAGTGTTGAAAGAAGATCCCCCCCTTAAAAAAACTGAGTAAAAAAAGTCTAAAATGTTCTTTTTCGAGAATTCTGAGGAGGTTCCCTAACTTTGTTAAGTAACTGAATCCAAGTAATAACAACACTTGATACTTGATACTGAACAGGTTTCATTTCAGGTTTGGTAAAAAATTTTATCTAAAGAATAAACCCAGAAAAGTCTACAAAACAAATAAAATGTAAAAATGAAAACATCTGAAACAGATGAGTTGAGAGGGTAGCCCAAGGATGAATTGATGAAATGCAGAAACACTTACCAAGAAGAATCGCAAACTACTTTGTGATTTGAAAGTAAAGTATAAAAATACACTGATACATTGAAGAAAAATCAGAAAACCTGATATCGTCTTCATAAACTCGACATTTTCTATTCAAATAATGAATTATTATAAAATCATTCATTTCTATTATTTTGGATAAATGTGTTCAGAATAAAGTTGAATTGCGCGCAATTTGTTATTTTTAAACATTTTAACCCAAATCAGATTTATTTTTCCTGTTTTTTTTAAACTGTACTTCAAACTAATACTATTATTCTCTGTGTGTAAGGGGGCAAAAGGAGACCCTGGACTTTCTCCAGGCCAGGCTTCACCAGGAGAAAGGGTAAAAAATAATCAAGATCAAATAATAATTCAAACAATTAATTAATTCATCATTGTTTATGTATAAAACTTTATTCATTTCTTGCTTTTTTCTTTTCTTTACTCCTTTCCCAGGGAGATAGAGGTCCACCAGGTTTGCCTGGAGCAGATGGATTTCCAGGACCACCAGTACGTTCATCTCTTACCACTGACAGAGAATTTCTTTCTTTTTTTCTTTTTTGAAGGTTGGGGTGGGGGACTGTACTTAAGCCCAGCGATCAGTCGGTGAATGGCAGGACAGTAGGCTGCCGCCTCGGCCTAGTTTAGTGATGATCGAATCATCTTTGTTTTTATTTTTGCTGTAGTTACAGTAGTGCAGACACCAAAACCAAGTTTCCCCCTGGAGTCTATAAATAAGTCCATAAAGTGCTTGTGTGTCAACAACACACAGCAGTTGAGGGAGAAGATAGTAGTCCTAGAAGTTGTTTCTCAAAGACTGGGTTGCGACCCTCAGGTGGGTCACAAGAGATTTCTTTTCTGGGTCATCTCACATCATGTTTCCCAGGAGTTTACGACTAATGTCTATTGACTTGGGTCGCGAACGTTTGTGACTTTTAAAATACAAGGCCCCAGAAATAAAGTTTGGGAAACACTGTCCGAGAGGATTCTGAACTGGTCTGAAACGTCTTCAGTCCGAAGTGAAGACAGTCAGTCAGCTGTTGGACATGTTTAATTTTAAACTTGTTGCTGCCTCCGTCATTCTGATAGACTGTGGGGTCAAGGCCAAAAGACGTCTGAAAATGGAACATTCCCCCTGCTCAGGGTCAGGGGGGTCAATGACACGCTCAATATCCGACGCCTCTTCAGGTCAGAGACAGGAGACAGAGACCGACATTCATTTCATGCTGATTTGTGTGAACGTCTTCACATACGAGCTCATGTTCCTCACCTGTTGCTCCCCAGACCACATTTCTTTCCTCACTGAGGAGCACCTCGTCTTCCCAAGAAACCATCTCTGTGTTTGCTGTAGCTGAACCCAATACACCCAGCTCATGAACTATGCCCTGCTAGGTATTTTCAGAGGAAATGACTGACTTGGGGCCTGGGCTCCTTACCCCCTAAGTGGCCCTTTTATTGAGTGTGAGGGTTCGTGTGTTTTAACCTCAGTGTCATAGAAAAGTGTCAGTATCACGGTTCAAGGTCTTCAGCTTCCCCCAAAGGACTACTGACCTGACCTGGACTTTGTTTGGAGCCATAAATATGTATTGTTGATGGACAAGGCAGGGGCATCAATGAATCAAGTGATGTTGACATGGAGATCTTTCTCCAACCTAATTTAAGACTGTGACCAACCGTAACAGTAACATAACAAGAGACTGTGTTCTTGTCACTACCAAAACATTAAGTGTTAATGTGTATAAACCTTCGCAACCCTGCTTCTTTCTCTACTGTCTCTACTGAAATTCATTCATTCTCTGTCACACGCAGTTTTTTTTATTATTACATTATTGTTAGTATTGGTTAAAATGAAAACTAATAACAACACGTTTTATCTTTCATCCCATATCCAAGGGTCCTAAAGGTTATCAAGGCGCACCAGGACTGCCAGGAGAACCAGTGAGTATATGACTCAGCAGTTTATTTGTCTTCGTTATTCAGACCGAAATGAATTGGACGGACAGAAAGTGATGCTGAATGAGTGCTCCATGCACTTTTTAAATTCTTTATTCTTGGCTGAAAGGGGAGTAAAGCGAGCCACTGATGAAGAGCTGCAGGAAAGTAACAAGGTTGTCTTTCTAAAGTCCATTCAGAAGGAACAGTGCTTGTTTTATTCCTCAGTTGGCAATGTTGTCGGGGCTCTGTGCTTCTCCTCTTTCACCTTATCCATCCATCTAATCTGCCTTTCACCATTCACTCCAACACTGTTCCTCTCTTTCTTCCTGCCTCTCCTTCTCTGCTGCAGGGCGTACCAGGACCTCCTGGGGAAACTGGGGCTGCAGGTTACCCTGGCAGGCAGGTGCAGTGAAAAATACAAAAATATGATTCCAGTTCCTCAAGTGATACTTTAAGATTTGTTTGTTGAAACCTCCACAAATATGTAACGACAACGTCTGCATGGTCTTAACCCAATGGTCTTATGCATAAAATATATATATTTACCTGCGTATATTCACAATGGCCACTGGCTGTGATGAAGCATCACCACGTTCTCTGGCTGGTACAAAATTAATGTGAGCTAAAAGTGACCCACACAGAAACATTGGTGGGAACTTTTCCAGCAAATGTGGAGTGTGAATGTCACCTAATCAACCAACCGGGGGTGATGAGTCCTCCTAATGGTCAACTAGATGTATGCAGGCATTTTATTGGTTTCTCGAGTCTGCTGTGAAATCACTCTGATGTTGTGTACTGTAAAAAAAATGGTCGCCTTCACCTCTGTCTTTTCTTTATCGCAGGGCCCAGCTGGACCAGAGGGTGAGCCGGGGCCTAAAGGTGTCCGTGTAAGTACAACAACTTTTGTCTTCCTAATCTTTTCATTTTTTTTAACTTTGCATAGGAGTAAACGCCAAAAAATCCAAAAAAGAATTACAATAGTGTCAGGTGTTTAGCCTAGAACCCTGAGAAAATAAACCTGAGTAGAATGGCTATAATACTGCTTCGAGCAACATGACGGATGGCTGAGTTCTGGTTCTCCTGGTTCTGGGCCTAATTGTTGTCTCTATGGATGTTGACTCAGTCAGAGGTTATTGAGGTCAAACAAGCCAGTAAGAGGCAGAGCAGTTTTATATGTGAAAAAAAAAACACAACTGAGATTACAGCAAGTCTACAGCTGACATTTTTAAACTGAGAAAATGACAAATGAAGTAGGAGATAAGAAACTGAGAAAATGACAAATGAAGTAGGAAATAAGAGGAGATTTTTGGATCTGGCACTGCAATGCCTTTGAAAGCAATAATACATGTACATGGACTCATAAAAATCACATTATTACAGATACAGTGTAACTTCACAAGTAAAATTGTGTCATGCACAAATACCAAAGCCGTAGCTGTAGTATTATGTGTATTCATACTGAAACGTGGAGTACAGTACAAATATAGACATTGTACCTGACAAAGTGTAACCATTTATTGTTTAATACATATATATGAATGTATATATGAATGTATATATATATATATATGTTTATATGTATATGTATTTATATATAGATAGATAGTCATATAGCTATATATATATTCATATAATTAAATATTTATATAAAGTAAGACATTTCTAAATATTTGATGTCATTTGAAACCATATTTAAATGTTAACACAGTTAACTGTGCTGTTCGTGGTGATGATGTTTTATGATCTCCAGGGTTTTATTGGACTTCCTGGTGTTGCTGGACCACTTGGACTGCAGGGGGAGAAAGTGAGTAATAAATATAAATATATATATATTTTAAATCATAAAGTATGTGCTGGTGGTGATGTTGTCTTTAACAACACTGATTTTACTCACTGAGATGTTTGGTACTTCACTGACACACGCTTGATTGAAGCCAATTGAAGTAAAATTTCATTTCTGTGGCGAAAAACCCAACATGACATCATGTTCCTGGTTTCACAATTAAGTTTTTCATTCAATTTTTTTTTTCTTTCTAGGGAATCCCTGGTCCTGTTGGAAAACCTGGCCCTAAAGGAAGACACGTAATGATGACTCATTTGTAACTCCTACCATAGTTAGAAAAAATGTCTACACTACAGATGCAAAAACACAAAAACATATCTTTTATATATTTCTACTCATATAAAACATATGATATAATTTCACTTTGTTTACAAAATGAAATCATGAATCTGATAAAACACGTTTTATCAGCCGTGGCTGACTTTTTCCATCAACCCGTTTCAATGATATGAAAGGGAATTAATTAATGTTGAGCATCTGTTTTGTATTGAGACACTGAGGCCATCGGTTACAGTTCCTGGTGAAAAATGACATGAGGAAAAATTACCCTCTCTGGAGGCCTTAACACCATTCAAGATGTGGCAAATCACGCTGCAAGTGTTTGATGGCCTGTGTTTTGGCTGCGTCCCGGGACCAGTGTCAGTGAAAAACATTACACTTAGATTAAGATAGAGACAGTTGGAATGTCTAGGATGGGCTCTCCCACTGTGAAAAGTTAACATTGTTAAAAAACAACAAGCTCTGGCTTCTCTGTGTGGAAGCAGCCGAATGGGCAGAGAGCCCAGAGCCCAGAGTCTGTTTTATCTGCAGGGTTATTTCAAGATCACTAGGCAATGTCTGGCTAAAAGGATCAACGTCAGGTTACACTCTCAACAAACCCCTGGCTAATCTTACTTAATGAAATAAGCATTTTTTTAAAGACCGTGGTGGTGAAAACTTGATCCTGGATGCTGTACGGTGAATGTCCCGGCATGTGAAGGGAAACCTGCATTCAACCTGAACGTGATGTGTTTTCTATGCAGGGTACGATTGGTGATGTAGGAGAGAGGGGGCCTCCTGGTCCTGATGGAAAGGAGGTGAGAAGTCACTTTTTATTATTATTTAATTGCTTTTCTATCTTTAGGTTTAGGTATTTTTAGGCACCTTTAGGTTTGTATAATACTGCACAGTACGTCTGGCTTCCTGTGTACTTAGGATGTTGCTGTGATGTTTCACAGGGGCCTGTTGGTGGACCTGGCATTAGTGGATTTCCCGGTCTGAGGGTGAGTGACGTTTTCTGCTCTTATTGTTGTCATCTGTGTTCAAGTGTTGTATTTTCCATGTACCCTGTTCCTTTCCTTTCCTTTCCTTTCCTTTCCTTACCTTTCCTTACCTTTCCTTTCCTTCATTACCTCCTAGTGTGCAGGATTTATGGAGGTGTTAGCAGGGTCACTGTGTGGCACTGAAGACATCTGGATGGATAATGTCTCCTTCATTAAGATATATTCACTTGCTGTAAATCAGTTTTATTACTGACCCAGGACAGGAAGTGGGCTGTTCACATTTTTAACTTATGGATAACTCACATTTTACCACAGAGTGTCAGGTACCAGTGTCAAAGAAAAAATATTTGAACGTTAACATCCATCACCAGGTATAAAAACATGCCAGGAGGAAATATCCAAAAAAACAGACCAACCTGCTGACCAACAGAATTTTTTACCAAATATTTGATTGAAAAAATGGCAACAGGAAGGTGAGGCACAGCCTGATGAGATGCCATCAACCGTAGGAAATACGATTGTTTATTTCACGTCCAGTTGACTAACGGACGTCTTCAACCTTCATTCATTTGAAAGTTTACGTATTTTGATTCTAACCACACGGTGGCACGGTGGCTGGTGTCCTTGCCTTACCAGTTGGTGTAACTGATCTTTCTGGTCTTTCTGTGTTTCTGTGAGTTTGCTGTTTTTTTTCTCAGTTTACTCTCAGCGACCAAACACATGATGGATTAGGTTCAATTTTCGCTCTTATTGACCTTCGGTGTGAATGAGTGTGAATGGTTATTTGTATCTATATATAGCCATGTGATTGACTTAGTGCACCCCCCTCGCCCCCACACTACATGACAAGGATTAAGTGGATTAAGAATGAATGAAGTGAAGCCAGCAGCCATGTTGGATCACCATGTTTTAACGTTAGCCTGTAGCAGCTAAAGAAAAAGATTTTTGTTTGAATTACATTTTTTTCTACATGCCGCTGTTGTTCCAGTGTGGAGAGCACGTGCATTTCTCAGAATTTCTTTGAAATCATTCACTTTTTAGGGGCCAGACGATATCAATAAAACGTAGCATTAGTCGGAGCGACACAGAACCACTATGACTGTCAGATGTCTGAACGTCTGTTGCTTGTGCGTGTATCTCTGCTGATTTCTCCTAAGTTTTTCCTTTTTTTTTTATTGCCAGAGTTCCTTCTTTGGAATGCATTTGCAAACATTAACAACCTCTTCTGGTTGTTTATCCACCTTTTCATCAATTCTCGACGTCACGTTTAATAAATCTGTTGCAGGAGTAAAATCACTTAGATTTGATGAATGTCCTGATGCATTTCTACAGAAGAACTGCAACATCAAACACCGGCCTCACAGCTTCCAGATGGACTTTTAGCTTAAAACACATGTCATCGCTGACGTAACCTGCAGCATGTTCTCTCTCGCTCGCCTCTAACTTTTATTTTTTGTGCGTGTTGGAAAATCTGACAGTTTTTTTTGACAAAAGATGACACTGTCATTTTAGGGAAACATCTGTTCATGTCCTGTTCTGCTAAGACTGAAACAGGATGTTTCAGCCTTTTGACTTTTGTTTTTTTTTTATTATCTTAACTGATATCTTTCCATCCGGCCCCACATTATCACCCCTCCCATTTGTAAATGGTGTTGGTCTTTGCCAAACCTAGAACCATAGAAACAAGTCGATGCAGAGTCTTTATACCTGTAACAACAAGAATGTTTCCAAACTCTGAAAACCAAAGAATATTTTATAATAAAAGCACTGCCGGTGCTTGTAAATCCAGTAAAGCAGGGGTCACCTACTATATTTGTCTGTTCCAGACTTTTTCTGGACAGACATCTTGGGGGCCAGACTCTAAAATAAAAATCACATGACTCTAACATATACAGTATATATTTATACAGTATATTATACTCTATATTATTACAAAACCGATGCCATTCTTAGCCTTTAACAGTTAGGACCACACAATATTTTCTCTTTTAAACTCACAATTTTAGAATCCAGTTGCGTCCCGGATTGCATGATTCTGTGGACTGGATACGGCCCACGGGCCACCACTTGCTGATTAATGCAATAAAGGGACAAATGCCAGTCAAAAGTGTAAAAAAAAAAATCCACTATAATTTTATATGTGTGTCTCGAGGTCAATGTCATTCTCACTCTGTGATCTAAAAAAAATGTTTTGTCCCTCTGTACAGGGGGACCCGGGGCCTGAGGGACCACGAGGGCTGCCTGGTCTCCCAGGACCTCAGGTAAAATTGAAAATTCACACCTTCCACTATGTTGTATTCTGAAAACAGTGTTTACATATAAAATAATAAAAAAAAAATACTGAGCTTTTAAACTCTTCCAGACTGTTATTGTCTTTGTGTTTCTGTACTTTGTGTATTTTATTGAGCAGTACAACAGAAACTTCCCAAAAAAATCCTCCCCTGTATTTAATCTACCTTCAACTCACTCACTCATTTCTGCTTCCTCTCCCTCTCTTTGGACCGTCTGTGGCAGGGCCCTGCAGGACGAGGCGGCCTGCCTGGATTGAAAGGTGATAAGGTGATCTAAATATTTATATTATTGTAGTGTATCTGTGTGTAATGTGTGACTGTACTAGTTCAGATGTGCTGTCACAGCATTGGCTACAGAGCCAGCCATTTGAGGAACAATGTTTCACAGTATTGTAGTATATTTTCAACCGTGTACTGTGTACATATTTCCAGTATGTTTTCTTGGTATTTGATCAGGTTTTCTATCCGGCAACGTTGCTTTATGAATGCTTCATCTGTGTATAATACCATCATATTCAGGGTGAAGTGGGACACAGGGGGGAACCAGGAGAGATGGGTTACCAGGGCGACAAGGTACGTCTTCTTATTAACGTCACATTTTAATTGATAAAGTTAAAGATGGAGTTATTCATAAAAAAGATGATTTTTTTTTTTTACACCACTCTTGTTTTTAATGTCAGACAGTTTTCTAGTGTGTCTGAGGAACATTTGTCTCAGCTGAAGCAGGAAAACATTCATCAAAACTGTTCCACATTGTGCTTTGAGCATGTGTTTGAACAGACGCAGATGTGGCTTCATTTATCACTTGAGGTCACCGCATTATATTTGTTCCATGCAATTCAGACATGGTCTCAGTCATTTGGCAGTGATGCAAACAAGCAAGCAAACAAACAAACAAACGCATCCACGGGCGTTAAAAAAACATGTGGTGTCACTTTCTCTTATTCCCAGGGAGCTGCTGGTCAGCCTGGTCCAGCCGGGCCTAAAGGAAAACCAGGACCACCGGTATGTTTTGGTCTAATTGTCTTTCATAAATATTTTTGAATACACAGTACTGCAATAAATTCTGGACAATATTTGTGTCTGACTGGAAACAGAGGACAGTCATTTTTACAGCGCTTTGACATAGAAAACCAAACAGAAATAAAATACTGAAACCACATTTTCTGAAAAACCAGATGCAGCTTCCCCCCAAAGATCTATGGAGTAAATGAAGAAAAAATCAAATGATCACACAACTAGCAATTGTTTACCCCATGTGCATTAAAACTATAACTTACGATTTTTAGGTGAGGACTATTTTACATTTGACACAATCTTCAGAAATACTTCTTTTTTTATCTTTCTTTGTGACGACAGACAGTTTCATCTCATCTATTCAGGAACTTGACCTTCGCTCTGTGTTTTTGTAAACTATAAGATTGTGGAAAATAAAACTACTTAATAAAATGTTCCCTTCATTCAACTGCTCCATTCAACCATCATCTGTGAGGTCACATTTTCCATTGTGTTTGTTTTCCTACTGTCTGTGTATTCAACCTAACATGATTTAGAGTTAGTCTTGACCAGGTCCCTTGAAAACAAATGTTAAGACTTTTATCCGATAAATATAAAACATATCAACAAACTTCTAGCTTTATCATCTAATTTCCTTTAAATAGGATTGTAATTCACGATAAAATGAAATCACTTTACTGTATTAAAGAAAAGACATTTAAGGTTCTTCCCATTAACAGGCTGAAGATTCTTCTGGTTCTGATTTATTTTCTTAGACTCGACATCTACAACTGGATAATTTCCATTTCTCATACACTGTGTTTGGATACGGCATTATTTAAAAAGGGTTGTATTATTGGTTGTATTATCGTATCTAAAGTATGAATTGATCTACAAATTCACAGAATAACATCATTTGTTTTCTTTGTTTGTTTGTTTTAAACAGGGTAGAATCGGCGAAATAGGGCCACAAGGACTACCTGGGCCTCCAGGACCAGAGGTAGGAGGGACAAGTTCAATCTTTATTTTTAATTTTTATATATTTCCATATGCACAGTGGCACAGTGACTACAATAATGCAGCACTGTTTTTCTGTGGGTCTTTCTGAAGACTCTGGTCTCACATATTACATGTCGTGGTAGTGCAGCGGTTGTCATGCCTGCTTACACATCTGCCTTACACACAGAAGGTCTAAGGTTCGAGCTCCAGAGGATATATATATGTGTGTGTGTATATAATTATTATCCATTAACAGTATTCTAATTGTACAAGCAAAGCTCGATGTGTGCTTCAAAGTTGATTAAATGACTTTACAAAGTACAAATGAAAACTTCAAATATGCAAATGAAATAAGAAGCAAATGTAGTATTTTACACAGTTTTACACAAATTTGTACCATCTCGGATTGAAAAGGAAATTTCCATCTTAAAGCTGTCATAAATCACATCAACCCAGTCCCATTGGCCGTTTATATGACGGCCTTCCTCCCTGCTGCACTTAAAACCCTGAACAGGTGAATGATGACTTTTAACACAACTTAATTCTGTCAGGACAGACGAGCTCTGCTATAACAACGTCACTCTATGGAAACCCTGACCATCAGTGCTTCCAAACACCACAGGATGAACCAGAACACAGTCCAGAGTTATTTCCAGACGTCTCTGCTCAATTTAGTATAATTACCTTCATATTTCCACTTTCAAAAGTCTGTCACATTGTGTTTAATTGCACATAAAACGATAGCGATAGACGACCGGAACTAAGACTGGAAATTGCTTCTTAATGGTTTGTGAAGTATTTTGGCACAGCCTAGAGGTAAGAGAATGAAGCCTAAATGCAGATGCAAAAATAATCAGAACCATAAAAACCCCTATTTTTCATCTTTAGCTTTATGATGATGATGGTTCATACTGTACTTTCCTAAGATTATTTTGACTCTAGCAAACTATCACACATCAGAAACGGTGAATTCCTGCCTGTCATGCGCAGGGCTTCGGGTACAATTCCACCATGTCCCCAATCTTAGGTTGAGTGTTTCAGGAAGGATGTGTTAAATCATTATGTGGAGTTTCACTGTGACCCCTGATGTAGGGACAAGCTGGGAGTGATTTGTAATAAAACCATTAATCAATTTTTATTTCCAGGTCACAGTTAAGGACACTGACTGCAGATGTTATTGTTTAATGGTTCCAAAAAGTTCTGGGTCTTTTGATCCCATCTCAGGGAAATTCTTGTGTTAGCAGCAGATTTGCTGCGACAGGCTGCCCCTTTGCAGATGCCAAGTATGGGGTTCCTCTGGGAATCGAACCCAGGACTAGCTGCTCCCTGCTTCCGTGCTAACCGCTGCACTATTCTGCACACTGATTTGATGGAGTTTGTCCCTCCTGACACAATGTCACCTGGGATGGAACGTCCGTGTTACAAAACATACGTAAAATGTCAAAAACACGCTGCTCCCCGAAGTGCAACATCACCGTAGGTCACGAAGGCCACACCTCGGAGGCAGGTTTTCAGAAATGAGTGATGGTTCGATGACAGCTGAGCCTGAAGGCAGTTTTTCCTCCATCAGCTGGCCCACAGTCCATCACACGCTCTACATCCGTGTTCTTCAGTCTTCGTGTGGCTGTGGTTCTGACGCAGACGCCGAAGAAAACGAAACTGCTGCAGACGTCGGGTCAAAAACTACAGGATTAAAGTGACAGATCCAACTGTCTTTCTGATCCTAAACCGTTGTCTGATCCATACAAAAATTCAACCTGTTGATTAAACATTAATGACCAAAATAAACCTGTTAGTCATGTGACCTGTGCCAACTAAAAGTGTTATATAGCTTGAATGAAAAAATGCGAAACAAGCTACAATATTTCATTGACAGTAATACACCATGCATTTTTATTACGTGTAGGTAGAAATTTTAAATTTTATATTAGCAGGAAGTAAATGTATGACATAAAAATCCTGCTTCGTGCCAATGTCAGAACATATTGATGTATTTTATTAATATTCCGTGCCGACCTGGTTTTTCTGGAGGGACAGATAATCCTGCTGACGTTTGTTACCCACGTGTGTCAAATACTGTAATAACAGTCCCTTTCCCTCTCTGTTTGTGTAAGGGCTTTCCTGGTGACATTGGAATACCAGGGCCTAACGGTCCACCAGGACCAAAGGTATGGATTTGATGTCTGTTATGTTGTTCATAATTCATTCATTCATGTCAGTTGGTTTGAATTAAATCTTACCCCATGTGTTTCAGGGTTTACAAGGAGACAGAGGACCCCCAGGTCCTTCAGGGCCAAAAGGAACAGAGGTGAGAGGATTGATTTGCTCCTTCATCACAGCTTTATTGTTGCCGGGACGACACACAGAGTGGAAAACATGCCTCATTCACAGATTTCCACTGGCTCATCAATCTCACAGACGGTTCATTTAGCATTTAGTCTTATCTCAGACAGTTGCAGCTCACTCCTCCCACCAGGCTGGAATTATTTTCTCTGCCATATCTCTCGGGGCATGTTCCACTGGGTGAAGTCATGCTTCACCAACGGGTGCTTACAAAAACAAGGCGGAAAGTTTTCCAGCCCCCGAGAAAGGGAGAGGAGAAAATACGTCCAAGTGTGCGTTTTGCACAAACACACACTTGGGTGCACGAACACACACTTGTATTGTGCTCAGCGTTACAACGCCGATGCTTGAGCAGGTCTCAGTGGTAAAGCCTGAGTCAGCATAAGAATCCTTTGACAAATGTTTGTTTTGTTTCTTCTGCAGAATCCCTCCACTTGAGTCAGACTTAGTTGAATTCATTCAGAAGAAACATTTATACAGTAAATGCCACATGCAAATGATCAAAATACTTTATTAAGATCTTAACATTATTGTTACGATTGACACAGTTAATCACAAATAATCATGATTAATCTCAATTAATCCACAGCTATGCTGCGGTTATTAAGATTCCCTCTCCTTTGTACAGTGGATAACTTCAGCTCAACTGTCCAATCACATGGGGTATAAATGCACAGAGCTCCACTTCTCACTGTACACCCACTAACACATAACAAATATGTATTTATTTTTATGCCATTCAACAACTCAAACTTTTTCAAGTTTGTGTTCTGCAACATACAGATTTTAGTTATTTATTTTTTTAAATTTTTATGGTAATTTTGAGGAACTTCCAAGTGAAGCTGAAGAACAGATATGTGAGGTTTCTAGACCAGCGATTTAGGAAGCATTTCCTTCTTATAATGCACATCTGAGGGGCTACTTCATCTGTTTGGATGCACTGTGTGATGTCACCACATAATGAACTGTACCGTTTCCTACAGGGTGACGAAGGACCGCTTGGACCACCTGGAAATGCTGGCCCCACTGTAAGAACTCTCTGTTACGTACACTTAACCTAAGGCATGTGTTTCCAGTACTGCAGGCCAACCTGGGTTCCTGTGCCAGAGAACAGCTGCATCTGATAAACTGTATATGTGATAATCTCATTATAATCTTTGCTCTATGTTTACTGTGAGTTTCTTCCTGTGTGTGTGTGTGTGTGTGTGTGTGTGTGTGCAGGGAAGACCTGGACGAAAAGGCCCCATCGGTGAACCTGGTCCTGAAGGTTTAGTGGTGAGTTCAGCACTTTTTTTTGCATGTGCCTTCCAAATATTTTATACCTGAGTGTCAATCTGATCAAGCCCACTGCATGATGACAGAGGAAATAAGGTATCAGATTGGTATCGGTATAGACTCCGAGTTGCAGTATCTGTATCAAACGATACTGATGAAAAAGCTGTATCATATCATTCCTAAAATACAACCTGTGTAAATGTACCCATATATACACAAAAAAAAATCCTGAACACAGTACTTGTTAGACATTGTGTTAAACTAGGTTTATTCCCAAAATTAACAAAAGAAATTCATCCCCAAACCATTACAGAACCTCCCCTGAGGTTCAGCTGCACAACACAGCAGTCATTGATGACAAATTGAACGCTGATTAGTACAAAGTTGAGTCAGGTGCTGTACGTGGTGTCGTATACACGGGTCTGCAGTTTTTTTTCCAGATAATTCCCCTTGTGTTTCAACTGTACTTCCAGATTCAAAAGAATTATCATTTCTATATGTACAATTAAGTTTCGTCTTTGTAAGTGTTCTTGAGCCACAACATTCCTTACCACACGCAGTTCTTCTGACTATTTTTGGCGCTCAAGCCTCCACAAATGTATTGCTGTGATCATGCTGTCAGGATTTAATCGTTCTGAAATATGACGGCCTCACCACAGAGTGCAACTGTCTCCATTCTTTTCTTACCCATATAGGAAGTTTAAGCTTTGGCGGTGTCGTAAACATGCTCCTAATTAGGAGAGAAAAACACATCTTCCAGGGTTGTCATCGCACATGTTGGTGAACCACAAAAAGGGTCACAGTCTCGTGCAGTATGTGTGTGTAAATGTGGGGGGGCTTCTATACCAGGGCGCCACACACAGAGAAACTGTACGGGGTTTTGGCTTGGAGATCGCGTCCTGATGTGTTCTGCTGATGACGATGTTCAGTCAGGCTGGTTGGATAGTTTCTAAAGTGCAGCGTCACTGGACTGATGTATTTCCTGATACTTGAAATAACCAGATTGTACTGTAGTAGATGTAGGCCATGTGAGAAACCCTAACAGTACGTTCTTTTGCTTACAGGGAGAGAAAGGAGACATGGGAAATGTTGGGAAAGTCGGACCACCAGTAAGTTCTGTTTTTTTTAACGCAGGACATGGCTAATCTACATCAGACATGGCTAATCTACATGACTACTTATTAGTAGCTTTTAATCAGATTCTTTAGTAAGTGCTAACATTCAATGAACTCCTGCAGTGTGCACTTTTTATGGCCTGATGTCACAATGAAAAATCCACTTTTTCAAACCGATCTCTATGGTTGCAAAATGTGTTTCTAAACGCCTTTATGACCATTTCTTGTCATCAGG